GGTCTTAAAACTTGTAAAAGAACTTGCCGAAATTGTGTGCAATATGTCGAGTATTTCGACAGTTATTGGTCATTTTCAATGAAATAGGTCGATCTCGTGAGGGTTTAAGTTGTCAAAGGCTCGGAGTTTGAAATAAAAATACGTTATGATATTTTATCGGAATGGATTATAGCATGACGGGATTAAGATAAACTTTACGTTCTGCACGTCCAGATTATGACAAAACTTGTTGATTGTTGGTTGCCATCTTTTGATGTGAAGGTCCTTTAAAATATTAAAACGTTTTTTTTGCAGTTAGATTGGTGGAATCTTGTTTTATATTTTTTTATAATATAATCTGGCAGTATATGGAAGGGTAGTCGTTATTTGCGCGAATGTATATATGGCGCCGTGCTGATTATATTGATTTTTTTAAATAATCACTTTTAATTTTCCCCGCTGTGTTTGAGATACGTCCTTATTTTTGCCAGCACGAAGTTCTTATGGCAAGGTTCCGCATTGTCGAGCAGGATGGCTCCTCTCTTGCACAAGTGCGGCCCCTGCAAATTATTATTATCATATAAAAATTGTGCGTGTCGTTAATTCGCACGACCGTTACACCCTGTCCATTCCTCGTAAATAATGGACTATAGCGATTTGATTGCGTGGAAAGAAGGAAAAGACCCAACTTGGTTTCAGTGAAAGAAAGAAAGAAAGAAAGAAAGAAAAAAAATATGGAGAGAGCGGAGCAGATTAGCTGCTAAGAACAGATACTACATTTGATCTGAGCCAAAATGCCGAGAAGCGATTGCATTTTCTTGTCGCCTCACGCAGCGGGATGTGAAACAAGGTTAGTTTATCTGTCTATATTTCTGAGATGAGCTATTATGTATACTATCTACATTATTCGGACTATTGTCCTCACTTTTGTTGCCATATTTATTACAACGTTTCGGCCGTTGTACGCACCGGCCTTCTTCAGGTGGTTGGAATTTCGAACTGAACCCTTTATTTCGCTCACTGGGGTAGACTGTTCTAGTTCCACGTGCCATGTTAAATGGATGTCAGTTATCAGTTATCTCCCGTTAATTTGCCTCTGAAAGTTCTCCACTGCCTTAACCGGGTATTGAACTCACACTCTTCGGGTTCTGACATTGGATCTAACCAACGCCTTTATCCACTGTGCCATGTGTCCCGGTTAAGAAGGACGGAGCGTACAACGGCCGAAACGTTGTAATAAATATGGTGATAAAGATGAGGACAATAGTCCAATTAATGTAAATAAGGTTAGTTTAATGTGGGTGAGCCCGTGTGCAGACATAACTTAATTGCGATATCTCGGATTAGAGAGGGACAACTGAAAGGTGAAATGTAGTTTATCTGCTCGAGGTCAGATACTACACTTTGACCCCAGTCATAAACACGCCATTTTTCACACGTACGATATCGAACAACGGAAATCGCCAAAACTCCAGTTACCATAAATAAAATAACATCGTCTGCTGAAGTATTTTTAAATGTTCATGCGATTTGGCTCGTTATCATTATTATTATTATTATTATTATTATTATTATTATTATTTCCTTTGATTTCTGATGTGTACTCATTTCTTTCCTGGTCCCGCCCAGAGACCTAAGGTCAGAAATGACATCCTGACATTTTGCACTGAGCAATAAAAAAACAAAAAACAAACAAACATATTTTACATAGATAAAGCCATTCGTAAGTTGTAGGCTGTACTCGTGAGAACAATTGTTTGTATTTCTTTAAGTCTTGAGCTGCCAGGAATCCCCTCAATGAATCTATTGGAATGTTTTCCAACCAATCCGAGGGCTCCAACTACAACAGGTATTGTTGATGTTCCCATGTGCCACATTTTTGAGATTTCGATTTCAGGGCCCTTCTGTTTTGATAGCTTTTTGAAGATCTTCAAAGATACATTGCAGTCAGCAGTGACTGCCATATCCATAAGGAGACATTTTTTTTTTGTTTGCAGTCTCTAATAACAATGTCTGGGCGGTTAGCTTTGATTGTTCAGTCTGTGTGTATTGTGAAGTTCCATAAAATTGTTACAGGTCCTATGTATGTATGTATGTATGTATGTATGTATGTATGTATGTATGTGTGTGTGTATTATTATTATTTTGTACATATTTTGAAATACTGTGGATAAATATAAGTTAGTTAATGCAGGTTGTATATTTTGTATAAAAACAACTTCGGTCATCACCACACAAAGTAGAAATATCAACAGATAATACCAAAGTACTATATAGTACTCACTGAAAGGAAAGGCGCCAAAGACTCGCAGTTATTATGGCGTTTTCAATTCTTAGCAGTCCTTCTAGACTGGCTCGTATCTATAAATGTCGACCCTACTTTTAACCCATTGATGGGTGAGGAAAAGAGGTGAATTCATCTCTTTTTAGTAGTATTTTCTACGAAAGTGGACGCTACGGAAGGAGTAAAGATTTGAACTCCGCGCACTGAGTCCATTTTTTTTGCGTAAAATACTATTTCACAAGCTGTACATCCTTTGCTGATATACCTGCATGATTTCTGTGCGCGGGAACATTTTTTTCTTCAAACTGAGAACACGTCTTCATTACGATTCTTGTTTTTTTTCTAGTTGGGCAGTAGATCTCCATATGCAAGTACGATTTTCCTCTTCCCAATTCACCCAACTTGCTATTATTCCACTCTAAGTGAGCCCTGCAAAATCTCAAGAGGTTTAATTCAAAGGCACTTAGCGCATAACATTGTCCTGTCAGTTACTTTACAGCAATATCGTACTAACAGTTTATTGGATAGTCTAGCTTCAAGAGCTTCAGAAACGTCGTTTAAAAACAGAAAAAAAAATTATGAATGAGGTATTCAAAGAACATGTTTCTGATACAAATAATAATTGACTAAATCGTTTTTCCGGTTCATGAAACCTTTGCAGGTTATGCAAAGATAGAAAATATTTTTATATTTTAAGAATAATATTTTTAATATATTTAGATTGTAAGATAATTTAGTGATAGTAGTCTTACGTATTTCCTGAGGTGGGGAGAAGGGTATTTGCACGTAAGTGAATATAACAAACAAAACTGGAATTGGAACTCAGGTCTCTGAGTAACAATTCCAAATCTTTATCCATTACACCACCCACACATCCAAGCTCACAGCACCTGGTATTTCCAAGCGGTCACCCATCTAGGTGCTGATCACGTTCGGCTTTGCTTAACTTCGGTGATCTCTTCAAATTGGAACTCGGTTTTCCGATGAACAATTGCCAGCCATTATCTATTACACCACCCACACATCCAAGATGACAGCACCTGATATTTCCAAGCGGTCGCTCATCTAAGTGCTGACCTGCTTCGATCTAGCTTAACTTCGGTGATCGTACGGAAATCAGCTTTGATTTAGTGATACAAGTCTTAATAATTAATCCATAGCTGGGGAGATATGGATCCATACCATTCCCAAGGGTATTTGCGCGTAAATGAATATAACAAACCGAAACTTATACTTAAGGCACAGTTGAAATTTCGACGGCACATAATGAGGAAAGAGGGCTTGGGAAATTTGATACACACAGGAGAGACTGAAGGCAAGTGGGGCAGAGAAAAAACAACGCGTAATCTAGCTAGCGTAAGTAGAATACGGAACACATTTTGGAGATATAAAATAAGACAAAATTAATTAAATGCTAAAAGAAAAGCAAGGATATTGTTAAGAGCTCAGATCGCCAACGTCCTTAAGCAATACGGTATACAGAAAAAGAAAACTGCTAAACTATAAGTCAGATTCTGCTAAATTCACTAAATATGGTCATTCGTCTTTCAGTCCTTGTGTGAGACTACGGTAATCATAGACCAAAACATCTTTCCATATACTGAAGAGGGGGTGAACTCATGAAGTTTTGGTTTCGACCCTTTTGGGGCCTCATTATTTACAAACAATTGTTTATGAAGCAACTGGCATGATTGTCAAAATTTGCTAGAAAATACTTGCGGCAGGATTTCCTCGTCATGACCATTACGAGTCTAAATTCGTGCTCAGATTAGAAAAGAACCGAAAAGAAAACCAAAGAATTTTAATACTGCTTATCAAGGCATGTAAATACTCACCACTTGAAGCTTTGACATAATAAAATCTTTTTCGGATACACGTTAAAAGTATCAGGTGCCATAATCCAAGAAGGAAAGAAAAGGCCTTTGTTAAATAAGTTTAGTATAGCAGACCTGATAAAAATATCTACTAGACAATGATTTTGTTCCAGAATTAAAAATTATAAACAAATAAATTAACTGGCTTAATTAAGTAATTAATTAATACGTGGAAGGAAATTTATGGTGTGTGGCAGTGAGATGGGAGGCGTATTTTAAAATGGATGGCAAATTAAATGACATACCTTGTAATATTGCCCAACCTCTCTGTCAATTCATTTCCGACGTTTGCATTCAATTTGGACTTGTTTTTCGTTATTCATCATTATCTGTCCTTTCTGATTCATCTTTTCTTTTCTTCTTGCTTTATTTTTCTTGAAATTTTCTCGTTAACCAGCTTCACTTTCCTTCTTTCTCTTCCATCATCGTTTTCTTATGCCTACCTTGTATTCCTGTCGGCTTTATTTCACTCTTCCTAATGATTATATATATATATATATATATATATATATATATATATATATATATATATATATATATATATCTGTCATGTTTCTTTGTTGAGTATCTTTCATTCTAGCACTTCTATCTTTCTTTCTTTTTCTCTTTACGAATTCTTTCATTTTTCGTTCTGTTCTACTTCATACATTACTTCTTTTTTTCTTCCTTTCTTTCTTGCATTTTGGCTTTACTTTTCCTCTTCATCTACCCATTCGTTGTTTGTTTCTTTCTTTCTTTTGTTCTATAGTTCTTTCTTAGCCTCTTCATCCATTATTTTCTTTATTTATTTATTTATTTTCCTCACCATCCATTATTTCATTGTTTTTCTCTTCATTCATTATTTCGTCCTTTTTTCTGTCAAGCTTTCTTCCTGTCTTTCTTCCTTCCTTCCTTTCTTTATTTCTTTCTTTCTTTCTTTCTTTCTTTCTTTCTTTCTTTCTTGTCATCTTCATCCATCATTTTCTTTTTATTTTCTTTTCTTTTCTTTCCTCTTCCTTTCATTTCTTTCTTTCTTTTTTTCTTTTTTTCTTTCCATCAACATCCATCATTTCTTTCTTTCTTTCTTTCTTTCTTTCTTTCTTTCTTTCGTTTTTTCTTTTTTATTCCATCATTTCTTTCTTTCTTTTTTTTCCATTCAACCTCCATCCTTTCTTTCTTTCTTTCGTTTTTCTTCTTTCTTTCTTTCTTTCTTTCTTTTTCTTTCTTTCTTTTTTTCTTTCTTTCTTTCTTGTCATTTTATTCCATCATTTTTCTTTTTCTTTTTTTTTTTTTTTTCTTCATTTCTTTTCCTTTCGTTCATTCCTTTCTTTCTTTCTTTCTTTCTTTCTTTCTTTCTTTTTTCTTTCTTTCTTTCCATCAACATCCATCATTTTTTCTTTCTTTCTTTCTTTCTTTCTTTCTTTCTTTCTTTCTTTTCTTTCTTTCTTTCTTTCTTTCGTTTTTCTTCATTTTATTCCATCATTTCTTTCTATATT